TTTTTTTTTTTTTTTTTTTTTTTTTTTTTTGAGACAGGGTCTCACTATGTAGGCCAGGCTGGCCTGGAACTCCCATATATAGCCCAGGCAGGCCTCCAACTCATGGTGATCTTTTTCACCTTAGCCTCTCAAGTGCTAGATTACAATAGTACACCACCACTTCCAGCTAGACCTTAGTCCTTATTTACCCTTTTGGTTCCTCATACCAGAAATACTATACAACATTTAAACATGTGTGTCTGATTTATTTCACTTAAGACATGGTCTCAAGGTGTATCTATTTAGTTGGGGATGTACTGTAGGTAAGTAGCAGAGCACTTGCCAAGCATAAGCCCAAATTCAATCCCAGCACTAAAAGAAAAAAAAAAAACTACTTGACAAGGAAACATGAAAAACTCTAAAATTCCTGTTTTATCTGTGTTTTCTCTTGATGGTGAAGAGCACGTGTGCCAGTGGAGAGAAACAAGGAAAAAAAGATGCAATGACCTCTGTATATTAAACAAAAACTTACCCACTTGAGGGATCTAAGGCAATAGCTCTGGGTTGATCCAACTCTTGCCAAAACAAAACTTTTCGTAGAGATCCATCTAAATTAGAAACCTCAATCCGATTAGTTTCCGAATCTGTCCAGTATAATTTTTCTCCAAGCCAATCACATGCCAGCCCATCAGGGGACAATAATCCAGAAACAACAACATTCTGAACACTCTCAGTTTTGTTAAATTCTGTTCGTTTAATAGCTTCTTCGCTGACATCACTCCAGTAGATCAAACCATGACCAAAGACAAAGTCCACTGCAGCTGCGTCCTCCAGGCCTCCAACTACTATTGTAGCATTCTCTTTGCCATTTGTAGCATCCACCAACCGCAAGTCCCGTCTGTTTGCATAAAGCAACAAAGGGGCCGCTGGAACAAAAAAGACAAACATGTAAGTGAAAAGAAAAAAGTACTGATTCTTAAAGTGGGGTTTCAAATCAGCATTAGTAAGCAAACACTGCCAAAAATAAGAGAGGGATAAATAAACCAATAGGGCAATGCCCAAATTCTTTTCATACACAGAATATTATTTTTGCAGCATCTCAAAACAAAATGATATATATTTAAAAGAACAAGATGAAAGATATTCAACTGCAGTTGTTATACTGCACATTGTTGTCCTCAACGAGATGCTCAGGTTACAGAAATTAGCATTTAGAGTTAGGCTAACTAAATGTTTTAAACTTGGCTACTTTAAAAAAACCTGATAGAAATCAGTACTGCAATCTCAGCTACCTTGTATATATACTTACATGATTTTTTCCCCTTGCCTTTTTTCCTATCTTTTCTCCTTTCCCTCATCTCCATTGTTTATTGCTTATGTTAAGTATCTTTCCATTTTACCATATCTATTGGACCTTTCAAATTTTATTTATTCTTTCAGATTCTTACACTAGGGAGACAAACAGAAGCTTAAACATGTGGGTCTGACTTATTTCACTTATACTCTCTTTAAAATAAATTTTAAAATAAAAATTAAAAAGGGAAAGGGAAAAAATATGGTTTATTAAAAGGAAGAGTGAATGTTTAATGGATCAATCTTACATACCTGTATCTGGTAGTCTGAGTAACAAATTTGACAATAACAATATAATAACAATGTAACAACCATTGTTAATATTCCATCCTTGTTCTGAAATTCTGCATTATTTGTACTGTCTTAAATTGCTTTGTTTCTGTCTTTGTTTCTTTTTTCCATAATTTTATTGAGAAACAAGTAGCAATGAGACAGCTTCAAATCAAATTGGTAGGACAGTTTTAATAATTAACGTACTGCATACTCTCTTTCTAGTGGTTTTTTACTGTACAAGATGCAGACATGATATCTTATTTACAAACACTATTAGAACAAATCCCTCTATTCATTAAGAGAATGTAACTATCTATCCTAACCACTTTGAATACACAGATACAAAATGGACATTCATCTGTATCCCCCTTTTTTGTTAAGTTCTATTATTTGAATATTATAGGTGTGTTAACTTAGCAAAACATTCTAAAAGAGTCCAGTAGCCCATAATAGTATTGGGTCTTCTGCTTCACTGGCAATATCAGAAATTGCTGACCTGAGTCCCCTATACCTCAACATAACAGCATGGCTTTACTACTTATACTTCATTTTTATACTTTTCTGCTGGATGGTTAAGACCAAGGTAAAGCAGGACCAAGACTTGTAGCTTTTGGATCTGATAAGGTCAGTGAAATCCCCTCAGGATTTATCCTGAGATCCTGTACCTCAGATTGTAGAACCTTTGTCAGTGTCAGCCATATGGATGAGTAATGGCCACTGCTTGGCCAATGTGCTCTCTGTGAAAGCCTGAGAGAATCGATGTGACTCTCCTTAGGCACACTCTACATCATCGATCACTTTCCTCTTTGGCCCCATAATCTCCTTGATCAGAAAATTTGGGACACTACCGAGTTACATGACACTACAGTACAAGTTCTCATATGTCCTGAGTCTAAGGCTAGGGCCAAAATGTTGGCTTTCCTTGTGGCCCTCCTTTTTCTCTAATTTTGGTCTGCAAACTTAGGTTGTTAACCATCCAGAAGACAAGCTTATTGTTATTACCATACAACCTAGGCTGTTGAGCTTAACCTCACTATCTGTCTGAATATCAAACATCTGAGGTACATGGAACAGGTATTTTTCATCAAGTATTGATATATTGAACTTTAAGTCCCTACCCTACAGAACATGATGAAAAAAAATTTTTTTAATTAAAATATATTTTAAAAATAGGCATAACAAATTATATAATTCTTATGTTTACACATAAGTCCAGAAATTTAACCATATACTGCATTGTAGTAGGACAGTCCCACAACATTCCTTTTCCTGTCTCCTGCCTTCATTCACCACCCACTTCTTTTTGAACAATCATCTACCCGAGAGACAGCACGGCAGCAACTGGCATGTCATAACAAGCAGCCCGTATTCAGAAGATCGGAATGACCGGCACTCCAAGCATGAACCTACTATTACAAATTGCCATCTTCAGTGCAGTTGCTTAGTTCACAGGTATCGGTATATATAGTTAGTCAGGGTGAGAATCATTCCAATTAACTGTTAGATTCAAAAAAATCTTCTGAAGATTCTCAGGATCACTGCTTTACTCATCCTCTACATTTAACTGTGTGACTTGCCACTGTCATGTTTCCTAGCTCTTCTCTTTTCCCTCTCTTAATTATTTAGTCCTCAAGTTCTTGCTTTCCTTTTAGTCATATTATACTTTTCTATTTGTATTTCTTCTTTTGAGTTGTTATACTAAGGAAACTATATATTTACACATGTGTGTCTCATTTATTTCACTTATGAGTATATCTTCAAGTAGCATCCACTTCAATATAAACACTTTGAGTTTATCATTCTTTATAGCTAAGTAATACTCCATTGTATAAAAATACCACATATTTTTCATCCATTCCTCAGGTGATGGGCATCTGTTTCTGTCTTTGTTCTATTTGTTCTAGTTTTTGTTTTTATTTCTCGTTAAAATAAAATAAAAAATAATAAAGGTAAAGATAAAGAACAAGGAATAATTCCACCAGGACAGTTTGTGCTTATTAAGAGTCTGTCAGAGAAAATTAAAAAGTTAACTAGACTAAGAACAAATAAGGATACAGAGCACTTACAGCACTCATAGTCAACAAAGCATGCACTTTGGAGAATAGCTGGCAATTTACTCAAGGCTAAACACTCCTCGTCATTGCACACCTTGTTACTAATACAAAAGAAGCAACACAA